TTGTAATTCAGGTTGTGTGTGTGTTACTGGATCGTGTTTTCAGTAAGTTCTCAGTCGGGTCTGCACTCCCTGCGTTTTGTGTGATAGTCGAGGGTGACGTCCACGGCGTACGTAGAGGCTTCGTTCCGAAGTGAGAAGTCCAGTCCGGGTACCCCCGCTAGTTCCTGGCGGAAGGGCAGTAAAAGCCGGAGTGGGAGGCACTTCCTGCAGAACCTCTGAGTGAACTTGCGAGACACTTTCCTCCTGAAATCCGAAGCGGAGGTCCTGACCGACCTCCGAGTTGTGCTTTTTGCCAGTTTCAGGTGTGTGTGTGTGTGTTGAGTGACCAAGCTGTACCGTGCATCCTCCGAGCATCCTCCGAGTTGAGATCCTCCTCCGAGTCGAGCCTCCGAGTCGAGCACTGCAGTATTTCTGGGAGTGACAGTCGCCTAGAATTCAAACTCTACCAAAAGTCTGTTAAATGTGACACTTTTACTCTGTGTGTTGCCTCTGTCCCTGTGGGTTCGATCTTTTTACCACCATACTGCAGTTTTAGCCTTTGGTGGGTTATTACATAAGGAGCCGACAACTTCTTTTTGCAAAAAGAAGTTGTCCTGAATCTAACCCTAAATCTACCAACAACCTAAATCTAACCCTAACCCTAAATCTAAATCCTAAGCCTACTGTACAGAGCCGCCAGCGTCTTTACATCCGAGATCTGAGGCTGAATATGTGCAGGCATGCGTGGCCGACCGAGATCAACGGTCCCACCAAATTTCAGATCCATCCGACCGTCCATCGCAAAGATATGGACTCCGCAAGATCTCTGAACCGCATCCGGTTTGCCGACCTTGAGTTCGCCGACTCCGAGTTTGCCGACTTGAAGTTCGCCGACCTCGAGTTCGCCGACTCCGAGTTCTCCGAAGGCGTTGACCGCCGAAGACGCACTTCCGCATCTTTGCCTATTTGTAACAGTCACTCCCGACACCCATAACTCACAGATCCTTGATCCGTTTCAAGAGTTCTTGGGCTCGTTGGAACGAGCGCGTCGAGCTCTTTCTAACGAGACCCTAATTGAGTCAAACCGTTACGAGTTGAAAGAGTTATGCCGGTTTTATCCTTGGCCGAAGGCACACTGTCAAAGGCTTGTTATCTGTTATCGCCGAAGGCGCCCGCACGATGTTTCGCCGACTCCGAGTTCTCTGACCTCAAGTTTGCCGACCTCGAGTTCGCTGACTTGAAGTTCGCCGACCTCGAGTTCGCCGACCTCAAGTTCGCCGACTCCGAGTTTGCTGACTTGAAGTTCTTTGACCTCGAGTTTGCCAACCTCAAGTTTGCCGACTCCGAGTTTGCTGACTTGAAGTTCGCCGACCTCGAGTTTGCCGACCTCAAGTTCTCCGACCTCGAGTTTTCCGACCTCGAGTTCTTCGACCTCGAGTTCGCCGACCTCAAGTTTGCCGACTCCGAGTTTGCTGACTTGAAGTTCTTTGACCTCGAGTTCGCCGACCTCAAGTTTTCCGACCTCGAGTTCTCCGACCTCGAGTTCGCCGACCTCAAGTTTGCCGACTCCGAGTTTGCCGACTTGAAGTTGACACGAAGACGTCCGTCGCCGAAGGCGAACATCTAGGGCCGAAGGTGGATATTCTGCTAACGACGAACTCCTTCCGCCTATCCGTAGGCGTTCTCCTTCGCATCTTCCGACAGTCACAACTCCCTGAGTCCTCATCCGTTCCAGGCGTTCTTGGTCTCGTTAGAACGAGCGCGTTGAGCTCTTTCCAACGAGACCCTAAGTAACTCAAGGCGTTAAGAATTTAGGAAGTTATGAGTGATCTACCGCCGAAGGTGCTCGAAGCGAGTCCTGCAGCGTGAACCGCCCGTTCCATTCCAAGCGTTCCACTGTGGCCTAAGCCCAAAACCCCTCGACTGTCCTCGATCCTCTTTTTACTCTGGCTTTGCGTACCGATTACTATTTACAGCTGCTACCACGGTACTTACTAATCAAAAATGTTCTAATTCCGACGAAAAACAAAAAGTGGGTTACCACAAATCTATATTAATTTTTTTTATTTTTGAATTAAATAGAAAGTTATCATTCAAAAAAATTGAAGTAAAACGGTGTTCATCGATACATTTGATTATATATTGAGTTATATCACAGAAAAAACATTTTCAGAAATACATCTGTTTGAAATTTATTCTTAAGGTTTATAAATATAATCGTGTTGAAAAATTTAAGTGTTTTTCAATCAATCTATCCAAATAAAAATTCCAAAAAAATATGAATGCTGTATCTTCGAAAAGATACTGATTCATCACAAGCCTACCTCTTTATACCTGTAGCCCGAGGCTTCACACCAAAATCTCCTTTTCTTAACCGTCAAATGAATTGAATTTGAAACAATTTCCTTCTTCAAAAGAATCATAACAACTCGTTTCAGAACTTTTTTAATGGTTGGAGTCCAATTCTCGATCCAGGAATGATACGTGGGGGCGAGTACCAGTTAAACAGATGTAGACAGATATCTTTTTGTGCTCGATGGCGAGCTTGAGATTAACTGGTCGAATACGGTTCACTGGAACTATTGGTCGTGGTTATAAACAGAGATGAAATTTCAAATATTTTGAGCTTACACGTAATGGAATTAGATGGTTGTACATCCAAGGAGAAGTCATCTGAAATGCATTCGGCTGTTGAGTATCTCATGGGTCCAATCGGTAGGCGGACAAGGTCCGTGTCTGGATTCAGCCCAGAGTAGACATTGTCATGCAATCCTTGTTCTGCAGACGAGTCGAAGTCAGCGGATAAATAACACAAATTGACTAATGCAAGTCACATTGTTCACCGTTCTTGCCATGCCATGCCGTTGCACAACACATCTGTCGTGACACGCTTGAGTACGGGATCGAAGTATTTACTCGAGACATTGACATGACATGCTTCTGTTGGGTCACAAACTCCCAGATCGAGCTACCGGGAACTTGATTGCAACAACGACAAGTTGCAAGTTAAGGAAAGTCCTTCTGAACAGATAAACGTTCCAAACTGGTTGTTCTATTTCTCTTTCTGTCGCTATGACTCGAATGGTCACCTCTGCAAACGCACACACATACCTGTCAACGCGCATCATAATATCTGAATCTTTCAATTCGATTTGAAACTCGACACCATGTAATTGGAGCTCACAACCTCCTGAAACTCCGTGCATAAGCTTTTTCAATGGCACTCAAACTTTGAGTCATTTATCACTAAAGAGTTGAGTCATTCCTTACTTCAGAAGACTGCAACATAGAAAGACCATGTGGAATTCGATGCATTCAACTGGCTGTCCATTCTCAACGGTATAAAGAGAATTGAAATTTCTTACGAAGACTGGTTCTGGACCGGCCAGTCGGCAGTCGTGAGGAGTGGAAACCAACTATTTCAACAGTCTTGTAAGCTGATTAGTTTACATTTCAGCTCATAAGAACTGAATTGTGCAGTGTTCTGATTCAATGCTATGGAATCACAACTGATCGTTCGATTTTTGATTTGTATCATTTGATCTTTAGAATACTTTTAACATCAGATTTCACTACCTTGATCATAAGATTTTTCAAAGTTACCCAAAAACACTACACTAGCATTAATAAGTTTGATGTGATTCTAAAAACTTTAAGTTTCTAGTTTCTCTGTATAATTTGTTCTTATGTGAGTTCATAGAAGGTACATAGACATAAGAAATTATGAAACTCACTCTGTACTATTTTATGTGGAAGAAATTGTGTGGTCATTCACAAGTAATAATGACTTGAAGTAGGTAGACAACTTTCACATTCTATAAGAAGGTTTTGTGAAACCCATGTTTGTACTATGTTTAACACGAAAGCGAGAGTATTTCATTACATTCTGTAAACAATCACATTAGAACTTGTCTACTAAGTGCATTAGCTTTGATCCGAAATTTCAGCAACCTCACTTTGGACTTTTAGTCAATGAAGCATTTGTACCCCTCATTTATTCTAGTCTCTCAGAACTATCGAGGTAAAAAACACTGATTTTCACTTTCCATAAATCTCTACCTTTTTCGGAAATAAGAACAGAGTAGAATTGAAATTCTCCTCTGTCGGAGCTCCATCAAGTTCAGTTTGAATTATATCAAAGCTCTACCCCTTCAAAGAAGTAAATTAGAGAAGGTTTTAGGCTCTCTTAAACAAAGAATCAATATTAATTGACTAGCGACATTTTGAACAGAGTTTATATATCATAAATTATTTTTGTGATTAGAGAACCTATAAATCTAATAGAATTTATAATATATTATTATAAGAATTTTTTCTTGTAAGGATCCGCTACCCAATCTAAAAAACGGCTTTGAGATGAAAGAATCTCTTTTCTACTGATAAGTTCAAATAAGATGCATATCTACCTATTCATATTTCAAATGATTCTGGACTGTTTTATACAAGCAGCAAAACTTTTCAAATTAATTTTTGTTTGTTTCAATCGTTTCCCTTTTCCATACCATAAATTGCTTCGCATATACAAATATGCATATATAAATACATGCGATATAAATACATATCACTTTGAAGAATCAGCCTTTCGGCCCCAGAGTCTGTCCTAATTTGTCCTTCCAGAAATGGTAAGTTTAGATTTCAGAACGCTACAGAAGTTCATGGATTATCGGAGAATGTTTGAGTTATCAGTCGATAGGATTTCGTCACAAGTGTCTCTCGGTCATTAAATCCGATGCAATTCAACGTGACCTGTCAGATGTTAACGTAGCCATGACGATGTGGATAGAGGCCAGGTGCGACGGGCGCAACGGATGAGTGCTGGCGAATTTGGAGAAGGACAGGTGCGTCTAATCTCCCACTTATGCAACACGAATAGGCTGCGATCGTTAGGAGTCATCCCCGTTTATATCGACCGCACAGAAAATTCGGCGTCGGATTTCTTACCGGGCATGATCTCCAGATTATTGCAGGTGACTTGGAGAAATCAGAAAGTCTTCATCTATGACCAGAAAACCCTTCTCCCTGTGAGTATGCTTTGGGATCTCTTTGGAGGGAATGGGCAAGTAGTGGTTCCTTGTGGTCAGTATAGAGCAAAGTCTGCATTCCTCGGGAGATTTGTTTCGGACACTTCTCCGCGCCTCGTAGTAAAGGATTATGGTTGAAACGGTTAAAAGCCAAAGCCAGTCCTTCCTGGGCGACAAGGATAGACCGAGCCGGAAGTCGTCGGTCATAGTCAAGTAAACGCTCTGTGTCGTTCTTAAGAGAAGGTATGATCGATAGAAGCTGCAAACGGATCTCAGCTCGAACAGACTGTTCCTGAATCCGAGAGTTTTTATGTGCAAGTGGTATCTGTGCAGAAGGGTCAGAGATCTCATCACATGACAGATGGATGGGGCCTAACTACCAGTGACGAACACATCATAGGCAGTGATGGAACAGCCAAACTCTACTTTGAAGGTCCGGACGTTTCATTATTAGGCAATTCCATCAACGTAGGTCTAGATTATGTGTACAAGGGCGACATTTGGAAGAAAACTAGAGCCACTGGTTGTTATGTCTGCTCTATCAATGTTGGTTGCTGATGTTGGAGTTGGCTTTCATTTTCTCTTGAACGCCAGAATACTCTCAAGTGCATCGCCGTGTGTCTAACCATGTGGATCTAGGCATCTCTAGCACCAACAAGTTCAAGCTTTCCAAACGGATGTGTAGACTCAAGTTTGCCCACTAACGGAGGAAAGGTCTTTGGTGCATGCAGACGTGAAGGTCTTGACAATTAAGGATGAAGATAAAGAAGTGGGATGGCTCAACGAACTTGAGTTTGTGAATGGGGAAATTTGGGCAAATATATGGCAGCTGTGTATTGTCTCAGGAATTTGACGCCAAGGATTGTGCGATCGATCATTTTCGAAGTGTCAGATGATAAAGGGATCAAACTTGTTTAAGTACTGTTGTTGCGGTGGATCGGCTGTGCACCGAAGAATAATGAGTATTTAGTTCTTGGAATGAAAGGATTTGCATGTACTACATAGCTCCTGTTCTACCATTCCAGCATTCACGGCAGATCTTGAAAGGTCATATATACTGTCTGAAGATGTGGTTTGTGGTTATTCAGGGAGAATGCATTGCGCGCATTTCACCTGACAACGGAAAAGCTACTGGCTGGATTCTTCTACAGGGTTTGAGGTAGGTCCTAAACCTCCCAGTTTTTGTAGGTTCTTGATATTTTCAGAAGCATATGACCAGGCAAGCTAGCCTCTTCAGTCCGAGAGGTAAACTTGGAAAAGCCTTTCCACCAAGGTCTCCAATTCCACTGTCATTCGCAGGAGAGAGAAAGCAACGTTTAGCAATAGGACTTTCATTAGTGCAGCACCGCGTCAATTTTGTTCTTTTTTTGAAAGCATGCGGTCAGACAGTGCTCCGCCCTCCGGGCATGCCCCCCCGCATGTTTCGCTCACTTCACCAGTACGAAGGGTCAATTTCTTATCCTACTAGGACTTTGCCCTTGATCATCATCTCTATTATTGTAGTTTTTATTATCTGTATTTTATAGCCACTGTTTTATTGTGATATTGGCACGAGAAATATTATCTTGGCCAAAGGATGTTTCTGATGATTTGTTGAATGGATTGCAGAAGTTCGCTTCTAGCTAGGGGTGCTCAGGTAAAATCTTCAATCGACCCCTCAGTGTCCTGTATTTGCAAGAATCACAAGTTCTGTATGCGAGATTGTTATTTACATGTATCCTTGCGGTCTCGAGAATGTCAAGACTGAAACCTCTCTTGTATCACAACAGAACATGGACGTGCTGAATGGTATCGCTTGGGACAAAGAAGGAGACAAGTTGTATGGTGAGTGAATTTTCTTCCTGATGGTTTGTCAACTGCCTCATTGAGACTTTTGCTGTGCTTCGGTATTTGTTTATCTACACATGATTTATTGCTTTCGCATTAATGCATACTTGATATAGGTTTTTGTTTGCACATGAGGGTTCATATAATAATAGCTCAAATGGGTTCTCGATCTCAAACGTTACCGAGTGCTCATTAGAGAAATAGAGGCTGCTCCAAGGATCTTACGTCTCCAGTTGTGATGTTTGCACCGCATCAAAGTATGTGATAGTGGTGGTGTAAACTGCAGATGTACAGTAATTCAACATCAGGGTGTACTTATATAATGAGCAATAAATTACTTTTGTCTTCTGCAGTTACGGGAAAGATGTGGCCGAAGCTTTTCGAGATAAAATTACTTTACAAGACGCACAACACAAACGGCAGCCTAGAGTCTGTTAGGACTTTATGCAATATCGGGCACAAGGGATTCACTTACTTTGTATTCTTTTGTATCTGGATGTCGCCAGCGCAGACATCTCCTCCGAACTATGCAGACAGGTTTGGGTCAGAGGAGGTTTTGTAGATTAGATTTGTACTTTCCAATTTCCATTACATTGCATTGGTGGATGGTTGTCGACCAAATGAAGAACTGCTCTTTCTCATAAACGTTATTTCATTCCGAATAGATTGACCAACGAACGAGAATGAACGTATTGAGCATATTGCCATCTGGTCATGTTGGGTCATAATGGAGAATATTTTACTGCGCTTTGCTGCTATCAATCAATGTTTCTCAGCTCGAGAAAGTATAAAATGTCTGAAGATTTCCCTTGGAGTTACTGCTTAAAAAATGTGATCGGATCGCTTACGGACTTTCTATGCAAACATAACTTGTATTCAGCTTTAGGATTAAGTTCTCCGAGAAACGTATAAAATGTCTGAAGGTTTTTCTTGGAGTTACTGCTTAAAAGATGTGATCGGATCGCTAACGGACTTTCTATGCAAACATAACTTGTATTCAGCTTGAGGATTAAGTTCTCCGAGAAACGTATAAAATGTCTGAAGGTTTTTCTTGGAGTTACTGCTTAAAAAATGTGATCGGATTGCGAACGGACTTTCTATGCAAACATAACTTGTATTCAGCTCGTAACCAAAAGAGGATTAAGTTCTCCTCCTGTAACTTTGGACATGGAGTCCGCTGGATCAAGTCCTCGTTCCGGGCCGATTCGCACACTGACGCCTAATCCACAGCTTTCCAAATCCATCAAATGCACCGGTGCTTTGGCTAAAAGCTAGTGCCAGCTGCTTCGCTCCCACTAGAGTGGCTAAGGACTTGACATTGTTCCAGGGGATAACTTATTTCGAATTTCTAAAAAAATTCGCGCTTGCGTCTTCCACTCTGTGCAAACCAGCTGACGAGCATAAATCTGGTTGAAATCATCGATATACCCCGTTCACGTGGTTTGCTTCCACAAAACCTACAGAGCATTTTTCAGGACGTAAGCCTATCGAGGCCGCACGTGACGTCTTTGCGGTTTCTAGGAAAGAACGCACCGCATGCTTGTATTCATCTGTATGCCTTCTGAAGTGATCTGCAGCATATCCAAGATAACTCAGTCAAGCCTCCATAGTGTAGCAAAACTGGAAACTCACAGAAAATCCCAACCGTGTTCTTGTCTGAAGCCTTTTTTCACAGAGACAGTATGTCCAGCTACTGAAGAGACATCTCGTGATGAAGAAATGACCCACAAGAGGTTCCTCATTATATAATGATAATGGATTCCTTTTCTTCACGAAAGTGAGAAGAGTGATCCATAGAGCAAGTTGAAGGCAAGAACATAAACCCCTAGCGTTGTAAAATTTGAAATCTTGAAGATGCGCAAATACGAGTGGCTTCGTCTTACCGACATGAGCCGACTTCTCCCACGCAATCATCGTTACTTTGCAACCAAGATCAGTCATCCTTGAGCAAAAATCTTCAATGATGTTGAATGGATGAATGTCATCATCCTTGGAGCACAGAACCATGATAGGACCCATTTCCTGGCAAGCTTCACTTCTTCAATGCAAGTCCCTGGTAAAATCTATAAAGAGCACAATAAACGCGCATACTTGTTTTTCTAAGTTTCTCAGTCCTTCTATGAAGCAGTGTCAAAGCATATAGTGTGAGTTTCAAAGGTATACCCCAGATTTGTAGAGCGTAGTCCACAGCTCCTTGTTCTGTGCCTCAAATCTCTTCAGCCAGATAAAGTCCATCAATTTCGCAGTAGCATGAGCAGCCCAAGTCACGACTGCCACTCTCTTCCGAGTGTTCAGAACTGATGGGTGACTGGCCATATTTGCTCCGATCTTGCTATTAAAATCTGCTGGACTTGAATCATGTATTTGACCAGCATAGCATTTCCTTACGGTTTTGTACTTTTCCTACACCATAGCTTATTGCAACTGAAATGTTAGACCGCGTAAGCCATCTTGATAACACCATCAACACCAACTGCGGAATAAAGAATCTGACGAAATACCAGTTAATGTCAGGATATCATTATCTTGACACTTGTTAAAGTGTCAAGATAATAATATCCTGACATAACCTGGCCATCTTGGATACAACTCTGGATAACGAGTCTGGCTGTGCTAACGATATCTAGCACGCAAATTGCAAATCAAGTCTGTCCAAGAAGTCTACTTCAATGTTCAAAACGACAACAGCTTCTGCCATCGCAGATATGGATCGGTGAACGCACCAACGTGCAATCTACATCCACGCACGTACCCTGAAGTATCTGCAGACGAGATCGTCCAGAATTTTCAGAATAGGGGCCAAAGAGTGATTCATGATCAGTTTTCTGTTGCCTTGATTAAATAATGCCACATCTAAATGAGTTTGGAATGCTGAGATGCGTAATTAGTTATTAGCTTCTCGACTGTTACCTCCTACTCCTAAACTATTTGTATAAAATGTAAAGATCTTTTCAATCACCTGGAAAATCTTCCACAAGCAGGTCATGTACCCGCCAGAGAATGTAGCGAAAACAACAGGTCTCGGCCTCTTCTCGAGCTCCTGTTTGAAAATGTAGGATAAAGCTATTGTTAGTTGAAAATTTCGTAAGCTCCCGACCCTGGACAATTTTAGTGAGCAACCGACCGGGCTGAGTTGGATCTTACAACGCACACGCACGTGTGCGTTTCATGGCGAAATCGTAAAGGCGGCTGTTTCACAAAGTTATGGAGAAAGTGAAGAACTAAGAAGGCAAGGACTTTCTGACCTGAGCCAATTCATCGAGCACTTGTAGAGCTAAGTTCTTGGCCAACTCTGGAAACCAGCTGTAAAATATGGGACGATCACCATGTAAATCAGCTGCTGAAAGTCCCTTAGCCTAACAACGCAGACAAGGAAAAGCAGCTTGACTACGCTATCAATGGAGCCATGTAGACATGAGCCGAATTTTTGTTCGCGAAACGCTGGCACATGAATTCCTCCGTTATCTGGCGTCTGATATCAGGAAAGATTTCCCACAAGCAAAAATTTGAAAAACCAGGGACCATTCACTTATTCTAAAATTCTAATTGATTGATGCATTCTGAACGAGGAAATCGAAGAGAATGGAGCAAGTAAAGTCGGGGATTGAAACGAACAGGTTGAAGACTTTCGGATGGCTAATGAGAGAATCCCACTTGCTTGAAGCATAAGAGCGAGAGTAGTGCTCCAGCTGCCGGGGCTTCGAAAAAACCCAGGCCGTAACTACTACAATGCCATCCGACTCTGAGGACTTGGCACGCGTCCAGAACAAAGGCTGGTCGCCACGGGCAACTGAACCAGCACCTTGCACCACCATCTCGCCGTTCTGTCTCGCTGAAGCCAAACTTCTCGCTGGATTTTCTCACACTTGATCTCTTCGTTGTCGCTCTTCGATCTCTACGAACGATAGCGAGCACGAGCACGAAAATCCGCCACAACGTCCATCAAAACTTCGACAAAGTTTCACTCACTGGCTAGCCTCTGCACCTTGACCCAAATGTCCTCAAGTGCTGAGAACATAAAACTTTCCTCGAGCAAAGGAAACGAGCACATGAATCTCAGTCAGAATCCAAAGTTCCACAGTTCCAAGTAAAGAAGTGCAAGGTATTGGGATCTCTTAAAGTTCCTCGAACTCTGCATATGGTCGTTGCCGGCCTCGAGCACAACCAGAAGAAATGACTTTCTGGGCAAGCTCTGACTACATGGGAACAAACCTGGGTAACCAAAGATCGCTACTGCCTCAAAATGACTCGCCTCGCCTGGTGTCCTCCTCACAGGAGCCGTGCTGACCCTCAAAAGAGCAGCTTCGTAGACACTCTGCACTCTACCGACTCTTCGGTCTCTTTCCCGCTGCAACGAAGAGTTTATTGACTACTTTAATTCGATCAGAGCGGGAGTTCATTGAAGTAACAATAATGTGCAGACGGCGACAAGTTTATGGACTAAACGAGTCATTTCTGAAGAAGACAACAATCTCTTTCTCTAAATTTGGTTTGGACTGTAGCGAAGTTCACATGTAGAGACTCAATCATAGCACTACTCGATCCGTTGCTTAGCGGAGTCATATATTAAATCAAACCTCTGACTTTGTAGCCAAAATATTTGTCAAAGTTCTCAAGTGTCCTTGACATTAAAGTTCAAGCTATATTCACGTGCTTTCAGGCTCAAATTATCCCTCCACCGCGTTTCGTTCTTATATCTTCTGTCGAGCATGGAATGGACCTCGGAGGGCTTCCTAACACAACGCTCAGCTACTGCAGTCGAGTACCGACTGCGGGACTAAAACCTCAGCAATAAACTCCTCGCCTCATGTCTGCTGGGCCGTTCAAGTCAATCAGAAGTTTCCGATTTTGATTTGAGTGTTGCGTCTCTGAAGTTCATCACATTGTGAGAGACCCCGAGAGTTGTATATTTTTGACACTTATTCCACTTCACAAAAATGATAACTGGCCATGGCCTAAAAGCCTCCAAGGAAAAGTCTTGGCCGACCTGGCCTCACTTGCCATATTCGAATTTCGGTGCCTTCTATCTAAGTACATGGTCGTCTGGCAGCCTTGCACGTAATCAAGAAATCAAAGGCGGGGTCTTCCTCCGGGCCTTGCGACAAATTTTCTGGTATAAAGTGGGTTCAGATTCAGCGAAATCGGCATGACACCCAATCAAGCCGTACACGGGTGAAACCAAAGGAGTAAGATGGGGCTAGGCCCAAATCAGTCCGGTCAAGATGGTGCTTGCATGAAGTTCCCGAACTCATCTTCATCACCACCAACGCCAGACTCGGATGAAGTCGGGATTAATTTCATTCTCGGAAGTGGTATGTTGAAATTGACACCTTGTTCTTGTTCATATCTATGAGGTGTGGAGCTCGTGGGCTTCTCCTGCACAATAGATTGTGAGATAGCCACGATCAGAGCAACACTATTGAGCAGAGAAAACTGCGAAAACACAGATTCCAAAGACCACGAGATCATACACTAGAAAGATCCAAGTCCTTCTGACAGCAATTCTTCATGGACACACAAGTCGCTTCTGTACTAACTGTACTCATCAGTATTTGCCCGTATGAGTTTCTCATATGAAGAGAAAATCAACTATATCAAACACAATTCTCCACAAGTGAGACATTTCTGGATCCCTTCTGCAAATGAACAGGTTTAGTTGGACATTCAAACTGCCATGTAAAATCAGATGCCCACCGGAAGCTCAGGAACGCTTGGGGCGGTGAGTCCCGAGGACAATACAGTTTCTTCTCGTACTTGTCGCGTATCCACTTCTCTACCTCCTCATTAGTGGATTTCGGACTTGGACGAATATAACCATCAGGCACCTGGCCTGTTAATCAAACATACATCATTTCTGTATGCTTCTCCTAATCGCAAATCTCAAGGCGAGTTCCTCAACCTCATGTTATGAATGGATAGATAACATAAATGCAAATCACTTGAGATCAGCAAAATCTGCTCTTCCTACGGAAACACATCGTTTATGATATTTCATTGATAAATGTGCACTAGCTCTTGTCTGATTACGAAGACATTCTATATCCCCACGAGAATTACCACAGTTTCATCGGCATAACATTCAGTATGATAAGATTTTGCAAATTATGATAATGATACGCGGTCATGCCAGTGTCCATATTATCTCATCCATCCTCTGCTGCCCATTAAATCTGGATATCATTTTGCTGATTACTAATCCAGCTCCCATATTTTCGATAATTCTCTGCAGATTTCGACCTACTAACAAGAAATGGGTAAAAATAGTTGACTAGGCAAGAGTTAAGCAAGTTAAATGCCCATATCCCCATCCTGAAACAGCAACACGTTGTCCGCCATTCTCTAGTTCTGCACCTATAACCAGAATGGCATGCAGCAACATCAGTGATCTGTGTTTTTTCTGTAAACCTCAACACAGACGTAGCAACAGTTTCTACACTCTCGAAATGAGATCAAATGAACCTAATGATGACCAACGAGGTTACTACATTTCACTATTAAGAATCATAAGCAAGACGCCAAATCGTCTGATGTTATGACAAGAGTCACATAAACCAGAGGTAAAACTGCAGGGGATGATGGAGCTGATTGAAAAGTATGCAATCAGCTTCCGAGTTGGTACTGTAAGACAAAATAAGTAAGTAAGCAAGGAGGCGATAAGTTCTGAGGGAGAAAAATACCTTCCCAGTACGAAGCAGCACGCTCATTGCCGATGGATTTCATCCTGTGCAGCTCCTGAGTAGACCAACTGTCGAGTCCGACACACTTAGTCCGGGTGACATGCGCTCCAACATTGCGGTGTATCCCGTAGCAGTGATTGCAAAGCCAAATTCCTAACGTGATATTTGCATATCGTGGCCTGCTTGCTTTGCAATCTGCACAGTATTGTGCAACCGCTGACATTACGGCGCTATCCATATGCAAGCTTTTCCACAACTTCAGAATCTTCCAGTTTACTCCAAAGCTTCAACTCTACTCGAATGAATGTGTCATGAAAACCCAAACAACTGAAAGAACTGCGTTCTCCTCACGACGGTGGAACTGGAGTACAAAGCATGAAGAAGTACGATAAACGATGAAAAGCCATGGAAAGAAACTAGAGGGCAAACAAACACCATCAATCAACCGATAGTGATGCTCGTATTTTCCTTCCCTTCACATGCCTTGCATGTCTTGCTGGGACAGAATCTTGAATCTTGAAACTCAGCCGAAAGCCCTATAAGCTCTAAGCCATTACTGTAGTTGCGACGACTAAGCTCGTAGAATTATTCCAAATTTTGCGTCAAGGTGCGCGCGGTGGTCATGTCTTAAATCCCATGAAGCCAGCAACAAGGGGAACTCGCTGGATAGACATTGCCTAAACTCCCTGTGCCTAAAAATTTCACTCTCTTGATCATAAGATTTATCAAAATTACCCAAAAACACTACACTAGCATTAATTAGTTTAATGTGATTTTAAAAACTTTAAGTTTCTATGTAATAATCCACTAAAGGCTAAAACTGCAATATAGCAGCAAAAAGGTCGAACCCACAGGGATAGAGTCAACACAAAGAGTACTAAATGTCACGTTTTAACAGACTATTGAAGAGTTCAAATTCTCAGGCGACTGTCACTCCCAGAAATACTGCAAGTGCTTAACTCGGAGGTCACTTGGAGGACGCATAGTGCAGCGTAGTTCACTCCAACACACACCTGAAACTATAAAAACACATCTCAGATGTCTGTTAGGACCTCTACTTAAGATTCAAGGGGAAAGTTTTTCACGAGTACATTCAGAGGATCTACAAGTAGTGTTCTCCAACTCCGGATTGTTAACTCTGACGGCTAGTGCAGAGCACCCGGGTTAGACTTCCTATTTCGGATGCGGTACCTTCGTCAAACCGAATTCACTCTCACACAGTGAACAACACACTCAACTCACAAAACGTGCAGAGAATGCAGGACCCGAACTGAGAAACTCAATGGAGAAAAGATCAAGTGTCACAACTTAACAATCTATTGACGAGTTTGAATTCTCAGACACTAGTCATTCCCAGAAATACTGCGGAGGCTACACCGAAGGCGCCTCAAGCAGTCTACAACCTGAATTGCTAACCAAGATTAACTCAAAGTAACAAAACTTCACTTTGGCATTTAGGGGGAAAAATACCGAAAGAGTACAAATAGGAACAATCAGCCAAAGGTGTAAGTCCGAACTGCTCAGGTTCTAACCAGACTACACTAGCTCAGAGCATTCGGTCGAAGACCTTCAGCTACAAAATGCGGTAACTTCGTCAAGCTATAGCTCCTCTTGCGCGGTGACAAAACTAAGGACACAAACGCGCAGAGAACATGAGTTCCTGAACTGCTCTTCCGAAACTGGAAAATCCCCAAGGCGAAACGCCTTGAACTACTTTATACCTTATAAGTCATAACTACCTAACACTCTACTCTATGCTACCCTACATGGCATCTGCTATGCCTTCTGTGCGAAGGTCGACCGCGCAATGTCTCCCTATCCGATCAGTCTTCTGCTCTACTGCGCAATCCTAGCCGCCGCAAGACCACGGTCACCTCTGCCTCGAGGTTCGCAATGGCGTCTCGCAACCTCGCCAAGAAGGAATCTAACCGCTTCGACACTCGCCGTCGGCTCCGACTGTCACCCGACATCAAGGCCGCCGCACGAATCTCTAATTCGCGCAAGGTCATTCTTTCTTGCACTGCCATCTCCCAAAGAGTGTAACCTCTCAGACACTGATTCACGTGCGCGACTAACTCCTCTCGCGTGCGATCTGTCGCGCGCCGATTGTCGCCTTCAAATTCCACTAACTGCAGCTCCGCATCCGCAGGCTGCGGTCTCAATTCATCGCACTGCGATTGCAGGAGACGCAGTAACTCTTCATCTGCCTTGCGTGCCATCTGACACTGCTCCAACAATCGTGTTTGTCGCATGAGCACCTCTGCCAAGGTGCTATTCTAAATTCGCTCCGAATGAAGCTCCGCCTCGATCTGTGCGCGCTGCTTCGCGAATTCGCGCTGGGCTTCAGCTGCTGCGTCATCGCGCAGCAACAGTACTGCCTTTTGCAGTTTCCGCAAGAGTGTAAGATGTCCGTGCAGGACATCGTTCTTCTCCTCCAACTCTCTGTACTTGCGGTCCAGGGAAATCAGTACGGGATTCGTCGTGACTTTGATTCGCGTCCGATTCCTCACCAACTCGACGTAGGATCCCCGATGGCGGGGATCAGCATACTTCACCACCTTGCAATCAAGGTGCCGCAATAGTGGTACCACCTGCTCGCACAACACTCCTGTCGGCGTGCCTTGCACCGACTCAACTTCCTGCCATTCCGAACTCGACTCGTCCTCTGAGTCGAGGATCTCTGTCGCCACAGAAATCCTCGGCGATTCCCTGGAACTGGATCGCGTGGCTCTTTCTGCTGCGACCGCCGCTCCACTCCCTGCTAAGATCTCCAACGCTGGCACATTGGTCGATGCCGCATGCCGTCTTCCTTGGCCCGAAGGCCTTCTTGCTTCCTCCGAAGGCGTCCGTGCCTTCGGTGCAAGGAGGTCCGCTGTCCTCCCGCTAACTCGTGCACTCGCATCCTCCCCTGAGGATGGCGAGTTTCTTCTCTCCGCGGCTCGTCCGGTGTCCGCGCTGCTTGCCGGCAGAACGAACTTGCGAGCTTTTTGCTTCGGCCGACTAGAGGGCTCCTGAATCGCCCAACTTCGGGCGGGAGCAGCAGAAGCTTCTCGTTGACTCTGCTCCGCCTCTCCATCCCACTTCCGCTCCATCAAGTGCAGTTTGAACTTCATCAAAATTCTACCCCTTCAAGGAAGTAGATTAGAGAAGGTTTTAGGCACTCTCAAACAAAGAATCAATATTAATTGACTAGCTACATTTTGAACACAGTTTGTATGTCATAAATTATGTTTGTGAATAGTAAAATTATAAATCTAATAGAATTTCTAATATTTTATTATAAGAAATTTCTTTTGTAAGGATCCGCTACCCAATCTTAAAAACTGTTTTCAGATGAGAAAACCTCTTTTCTACTGATAAGTTCAAATAAGATGCATATCTACCTATTCATATTTCAAATTATTCTAGACTCTTTATATACAAGCAGCAAAATTTTTCAAATCATATTATTTTTGTTTCAATCGTTTCCCTTTTCCACTTGGACCATACTTACACTTATCTCATTTAAAAAAAAAGTATTTCTGTATACATATACTACGGACTTATGAAACCTTTGATGTAGAATCACACTGTTAGAAAAAGAATTTCAGTGAAAGTTGGTCTATAAAATACTGTACGTGCAATTGTTCCACTTTTGTAAAAAGGTAATAAATTTTCAGTTTATTTACAAATGAAGGAATTTTACCTTAAAAGTAGAAGCATTATAAGTAATAGAGTTGTTTTGATTAAAAAAGTTCCTTTGTCTACATATGAGATCTATAAAGTGAAGGAAAAAATAACAAGTTGCAAATTTTCACAAAAATAATATAATCAATCATGATTCGATCAAACTAGTACTGATGTAGTCGTCATTCATGCGAATCTCGGATGTTTTCCTCGGACAAAAGAGACAAAGGTTGATAAAACCACTAGCACTAGTTCTCAAGAGTAGTATAAATAAGTGTATACCAGTTCAGATCAATAAAGTGACTGTGGGCTCAAACAGAAATTCCGAGGACATTCCGGAACTCTTTACAAGAATTTTTCAAAATGTAGTATAATTGATGTTATACTGGTTCAAATCAAGAAACACATAGCAGCGATCCAACAGGATAATTTTGAGTTCAATCACATCTCTGGGATAGATACTGGACATTTATATTAATTTTATGATGGTTCAAAAGGCACAAGTGCACTGTTTACATGTGGTTGTACGTAAAGTAACTGAAGCTATATACTACTACTCGGACTAATAGTCCAATTCCATGGAAGCGTTAAGCCTCCAGCAACTGATGGTTGAGATGTATCTATTACAGGTTACTATTACATTACTAATGGGACTATCGTCGGATAGATAAATCGGTTTCATCATCAGTAGTCGGGTTCTTCATGTCCGTATTGGTCCGCGGTGGTGGGCCCGTACACATCCGCCCGGTACTAGTATATAGCCGTATGTGTATATATAGTATATAGTATTTTTCATATTCATGTGGAGATAGCCACATTTTACTTGTTTACTTTACGTAAAATCATGCTGTCACGGGTCATGTACAGTATACACTCGCTTAAGTTCGCACCCACATAAATCCGCATCCCTAAGTCCATATTTTTCAAACAAAATTTAAAGTATAAAAGTTCTAGAGGTTATTATCAACAGAAGTCAAACTTTTGATTAATGATGATGCATGTATGAGGCAACATGGTGGTTTCTCATTAGAGATTAGATCTCTCTCCCTTTTGGCCCTCAGGTTGGATCTTTTAATCACTGCTTGTATCTGAGTCTACTGGTTTTCATCCTACTTCCTATTCGATGTGTCTTACACCCAATTTCATTCTTGATAATGCTTCACTCATATCAATCTCTACAGACTTACCAGTATCTGAAATATATTGTCTCGGTTATTAACTATATCGCCATGAGTTCGTTGTAGAAGGTGTTGAGAAAGAACAGCACAAACTAGTTGAGTTGAGTAAGATATTAGCAATCCTTTCCTTAACAATTGCAATACAAGTTAAGTTACAATACTATTAAACTAATTGTAATAAGAGTTGAATCAGATATTAGCAATACTTTTCCTTAACAATTGCAATACAAGGACTATTAAACTAATTGTAATAAGCGTTGAGTCAGATATTAGCAATACAAGGACTATTAGTAATGCCAATGTTAACCTCTAAGCACAGGGTTAATAGTTTTCTGGGATGAAGTGAAGTGTGGTACGAAGTATCACTACGTCTGGAAAATCATTGGAATGTTGTCGGAGACTTTTCTCGTCATTGAGACCCTTTGACAATAGTTAGTTAACATAGAAAGACCGCGAAAAAATTAAAATCACAAGATGAGATATTACTAAAGTCCGCATCTCAGATAAGTGTAATAACCCACCAAAGGCTAAAACTGCAGTATGGTGGTAAAAAGATCGAACCCACAGGGACAAAGGCAACACACAGAGTAAAAGTGTCACGTTTAACAGACTTTTGTAGAGTTTGAATTCTAGGCGACTGTCACTCCCAGAAATACTGCAGTGCTCGACTCGGAGGAGGATCTCGACTCGGAGGATGCTCGGAGGATGCACGGTACAGCGTGGTCACTCAACACA